TAATTGTTTTAATGTGAATTTTTCTGAGGACTGAAGCTGAGATCTTTCCATGTTTATTGACCATTTGGCTATCCTCCTTTATGAGAAGCTAATTCAAATATTTTGCCTTTAAAATAAATCGGTGTGATGGTCTTTTGGATGTGTCATCTGTCTACTGTCCCCAGTTATTCAATCAAACACTAATGTGTTGCTGTGAAGGTATTTTGTAGATGTTATTAAAGTCTATAATCAGTTTGCTTTAAGTAAAGGGGATTATCCTAGATAATCTTAGTGTACCTGAGTCAATCAATTCAAAGGCCTCAGAAGCAAGCTTTCTTGAGAGAATACAAAATTCTGCCTGTGAATGGCAACGTTTGTCTATTCCTATGAGTTCCTGCCTTTCCTCTTGGCCTGCCCTGAAAATTTCAGACTTGCTTAGATACCCTCCTCCCCCGACTCCACACACATTTATGTAAGCCAACCTATTGAACTAAATCTTAATATATCTTACTGGTTCTGTTTCTCTGGTTCAAACCTGACTGATATAATTAGGTTGTCTTTTTCTTATTGATTGTAGGAGTTCTTTATAGATTCTGGATATGAGCTCTTTGTTGGTATTATGCATTATAACTATCTTCTTTCACTCTATAGTTTGCTTTTTTAATATCTTAATGGTGTTTTGGATGAAAAAGTTTCAATCTTCTCCTTAATGGTTAGTGCTTTTATGTCTGTGTAAAAAATCCCTGCCCATCCCAAAGTCATAAGCATATTCCCTATGTTATCTTCTAGAAGCATTTCTTTTTCACTTTCCATATTCATATATACAGTTCACTTGGAATTGACTTTTGTGTATGGTGTGAGGTAAGGGTCATTTTACTAATTCCATATAATCATTCAATTGACTCAGCACCATTTAATAAAAAGACAAATATTGGGCTTCCCTGGTGGCACAGTGGTTGAGAGTCCACCTGCCGTTGCAGGGGACACGGGTTCGTGACCCGGTCCAGGAAGATCCCACATGCCGTGCAGTGGCTAGGCCCGTGAGCCATGGCCGCTGAGCCTGCGCATCCGGAGCCTGTGCTCCACAACGGGAGAGGCCACAACAGTGAGAAGCCCGTGTACTGCAAAAAAAAAAAAAAAAAAAAAAGACAAATCTTTTCTCCCTGCTATGCAGTACCACCTTTGCCAAAAATCAAGCATTCAAATATGTGGGTCTGTTTCTAGACTCTATTCTGTTCCATTGGTGTAAATATCCTGGTGCAAAAAGCATATTGTAGTCAGAGAGAAGGATGTAAATAATTACTGATTTTAGAAATAAGTTATTGATGTTGACCTGGTCCAGAGTATGACAAAAGGAATGGGTACTTGAGGCAGAATGGTAGAGAAATTCATTAGAGGTGAGAAAGGATTGAGAGAGATCAGGGCATTGGATTGTTCATTCACATCAATACTGAATCACCAGTATATTGGCAAAGACTTTTCCAATAAAGAATGACTGTGAACCAGATGCCAAAGTCCTCTTTCAGGGGAAAAATTACTTGAGAGATCAGGAGTTGGCATAGTTGAATGACTTGGGTCTCACGGAAATAGAGTTTTTACTGAGAGTTTTGCTGGAGAGTTCTGGATATGCTAATGGAGAGCAAGATGCCCTCCACAATTGTCAACTCTGGGTACACTGTGAGAATAAAAGTGACCTGGCAAATAGGAGAGTACAAAAAAAATGAATAGATGCTCACTGAACTATAATCCAGTATTAGCAAAGGGTTCATTTGAAATGTTTAATATTTAAATAGTTTTGAAAAAAAAAAGCTTGAATGACTGAACATACAAAGATGTTCAGTAATGTAATACTGAACAGATGTAATCCTGTTAGTATTAGATTTTCCAAGTATAATTACAGTATTAAGAAGTATAGACATGTACAACAAAACAGAGTGGTATTGGCACAAAAAGAGACACATAGAACAATGGAACAAAATAGAGAGCCCAGAAATAAACCCATGCACTTATGGTCTATTAACCTACTTCAAAGGAGGCAAGAATGTACAATGGAGAAAAGACTGTCTCTTCCATAAGTGGCACTGGGAAAACTGGACTGCTACATGTTAAAGAATGAAATTAGAACATTCTCTAATACCGTATACAAAAATAAAATCAAAATGGATTAAAGACCTAAATGTAAGACTGGAAACTCCTAGAAGAAAACATAGGCATAATACTCTTTGACAGAAATCATTGCAATATTTTTTTGGCTTTGTCTCCTAAAGCAAAGGAAATAAGAGCAAAAATAAACAAATGGAATCTAATTAAACTTAAAAGCTTTTGCACAGCAAAGGAAACCATCAACAAAATGAAAAGACAACCTCATGAATGGGAGAAAATACTTGTAAATGATATGACCAATAAGGGATTAATATCTAAAATATATAAATAGCTCATACAACTCAACAGCAAAAAACCCAATCAAAAAAAAAAAAAAAAAGCAGAAGACCTGCATAGATATTTTTCCAAAGAAGACATATGGATGGCCAACAGGCATGTGAAAAGATGCTCAACATCACTTTAGAATTAGTAGAGAAATGTACATCAAAACCACAATGAAGTATGACCTCACATCTGTCAGAATGGCTATCACCGAAAAGTCTACAAATAACAAATGTTGGAGAGGATGTGGAGAAAAGGGAACCCTCATACACTGTTGGTGGGAATGTAAATTGCTGCAGTCACTATGGAAAACAGCATGAAGCTTCCTCAAAAAACTAAAAATAGAACTACTTTCACTCCTCGATATATGTCTGATGAAAGCGAAGACACGAATTTGAAAAGCTACTTCACCCCAATGTTCATAGCAGCATTATTTACAATAGCCAGGATATGGAAGCAGTGCATAATGGAATATTACTCAGCCACAAAAAAGAATGAGATTCTGTCATTTGCAATAACATGAATGGACCTAGAGAGTATTATACTTAGTGAAATAAGCCAGACAGAGAAAGTCAGATACTCTGTTATCATTTATATGCGGAATCTAAAAAATAAAACAAATGAATCTACATAACAAAACAGACTCACAGATGTAGAGAACAAACTAGTGGTTTGAGGGAAGAGGGAATGGGGGAGAGGCAAGACAGGGGTATGGAATTAAGAGATACAAACTACTATGTATAAAATAGATAAGCAACAAGGATATATTGTACAGCACAGGAAAATATAGCCATCATATTCAATAACTTTAAAGTATAATCTATAAAAATATTGAATCACTATGATGTACACCTGAAACTAATATATTGTAAATCAACTATACTTCAATAAAAGCAAAACAATGAACAAAAAAATAAGTATAGACATATATAACAATTTCAATATTTCTATCTCTTTAAAAACATGGCAAAAAATGTTAAAATTCATTACATTTTCCAGTGTTCATCATACAAAGACCCCTAAGAACTATTACCTACTTTGGTTAAATGTTAGAAAAATATTGGTGTTTTAGATTATATATATATATATATATATATATATTTATAGAGAAGGAGATCATAATTTTCATATGTTACCCTTTTATGCTTGAGCTATTGGGAAACTATATTTCCTAATATTTTTCCTGATCAGCTCAGACTCTGATACATGCTCACTTAATAATTATATTTATTACATAGTTTTAGTAGAAAAACTATGGGACTTGGAGCCATAGATATTTGAATGAAAGTACCATTTTTGCTATTTCCTAGCTCATGACCTTGGGCAATTCTATTTCCTTCTTTGCAAAATGGGGTTTTAAAAAATACTTATTTGTCAGGGTTGCTGTGAGGTTTAAATGAGACAATAATTGTAAAGCACTTAGCACTATAACTGGCACAGAGTAGGAATTCAAGAAAGGCAACCATTATAATTTATTTACCATAATTTCCTTTAAAATATCAAATCTACATGATGCTTTCATTTTCTGGAAGGAGTGTGAAAACTGAAGTTACATTGTGAAGTGGCTGGATAAAAAGAAAGTGAAACCTTTTAGTGAGAGAAATAATAGTTAAAAATCTAGGTTTAGATTAAGGTCTTTGCATTTAGCTTCCCATCTGCTAATCTGGCTTGTGTCCATTCAATTCAAGAAAAGACTGGATGCCTACTAAGTGCCAGGCAGTGTTAAAACCTGGGGATAAGGTGAAGAATTATAAAAATAGTCCCTTGTCCTTAAAATTTCATGGTCTAATTGAAGAAGGCTTTAAATAGTTTAAATTTAAACTAACTACCTCATTATATCCTCTTTATATTTATTCATACCTTTGGGAGAAGAAAAGGGTTGCTTTTCTGATGTTTCCCAAGTCTTATCTATTTCTGAATAGGCAATTGATTTCTACTGGTAGGAAAATTTATGGGCCTATAGTCCATTTGCTTAGAGGAAAGTAGCTTCATGAGGCATCTAAGCTACTAAGGGCAAAGGCATAATATAGAGAATTAATTTTCAAAAATGTTTAAAGGAATGCTATCATTTTTTCTCCATATGAAACCCTACATACATAACAGATAAAAGTAAAGTTGCCACTTTTTTGGAAAGAGAATGAGAGGGGTAGGCACACCTATTATTAGCTTATAACAATTAAATTTAACAAACATTTTAAAGAAGAATAAAGAAAAGTATTATAATCACATTTATTCACCTATTTAGAATATTTTAAACAACATTTTTCACTGTGCTTACTTGACAGAAATTTTGACTGTAATATTGGGATAATAACAGAATTTATTTTTAAACTAACAAGAAAAGTCATGGAAAAAATGGAGGTTGGCAAAAGTTTCTAGTTTTAGTTGAGCAAAGGTTGGGTCATTCGCTTAAAAGCAATAGCTACTAGATAGACAAGGGTACAATATTAAGGGTGATAAGTTATTTCTATAAAGCTGTTATTATTTAATATTAATATCTTATAAGGTGCATATTGCCATATCTCAAGAAGAGAAAGTTCACATGAATTTAAAAACTTGTACTTTTTACCTATAAAAATATATAAATTTATTCTTACCAGCGGCCTTTTCATTTTGACCCAGAATATTATGCTGTATTTTCCACAAGGGAACAAATTCTTCTTTAGTAGTTTTAAGAGTCACAGAGGAATGACTTTCTTCATATGCTGGACATCTTTGGGTGTAATATAATGTCCCATCTTGCTGGGCAACCATTTGATTGCCATTTGAATGATTTATTTTTGCTAAAGTTTGGCACTCAGAAGAACAATATGGTAGAGATGGCATCGCAGTGACTAAGTCAGGACAAACATGTGAGAGTGGAAGACTACTTTCTTGATTCCACTGATTTAACTTGTGTTCTGTTGGAAGCACATGTTTTGAATTAACATAGTCACATGTACTGATGTTTTGAGAATTTTCAGGCATTACAGTTTGATACTGAGATACTTGTATATTTTTACAACTTCTAATATTTAATTGAGATTTAGGAGGAGGATGAGGCACAATTAATTTACCCTGAGCTTGTAAAAATGTGTTGGCTTTGCTCGCAGACTGTGGTCGAATAACAGCGCCTTTTCTGTTCGTATATATAAAGCCTGATTGAACTTTAGCAGATCTTGTTCTTCTAATTACTTTTGCTCCACCCTTTTGTGGATTAGTTTTCTGAGTTTTAGAACCACCACTATTTACAGGGGATTTACTTTCCTCTTCTTTTGAGTCTGGCCAGGCTTGTTTAGCAATGTTATAACCTGAAGGTATAAAGCAGTTCAAAGGCACATGGTCTATTCCAGATCCTCCTAAAGCAGTGACATTTTCAGAGATAAAATCATCCTTGGGCTTTTTCTTATCAGCAGAATTCACAGAAGAAGCAGGAATAATACTAGTAATGTTGCTGGCAGCAACACTTTTAGTTTGAATGTGGAATTGTTGAGACCACTGTTGAGTTATTCCTATTCTATTTTTCAGTGAATGATTATCTTCAACATGTTTTTCTGTATCTTCAGTTTCATCAATCCATCTCAGTTTTTTAATAATCTTTGGAATTTCTGCACTTTTCCCTTTTTCTTTTGTTAATTCAATACTATCTCTGATATCTGCTGCTTTTTGATTTCCTAACTTAAAGCCTTGGTTTGTAACCAGTGCCTTAAAATAATCATGTTCATATTTAGATTCTTTCTTTAAAATACTTTTAAGAAACCTCACACCATTTCTCTCATGAATATTGCATTTCATTTTCTTGTGCTGACCAACTAAGTCACAATTAGAAATTATACTATACAATGATGTTGATGCTTCAGCTATTTTCTGTTTTTTATCTTTTGAGTCAGAGTTGTAAGGTAAACAGCCAGCTTGAAAATTATCTGAAAATAAAGACAACTCTTCCTCATCACAGTTAGAATATCTTATCTTTTCATCTTTAATGTCTTTCATTTCCCCTAACTTATCAGAACACTGCACTGGGTCAATTTCTTTTATATGTATACTTTTTTTGGGTAAAGGCCTAGCTGATTGTGTATTCGATGGCAAAACTAAAGGTTTTGCCACAGGTACAAATGAAGTGGGTACTGAAGTAGTTCTATTTTCTTGAGTCAATTCAGAATATTTCTTTTGGTCTGAAATTGTTGCCATTTCCTGGGTTGGAGAATCTGGATTGGCCTCGGCTTTGCTGAATTTAAATGTTGGGCTCTCAGTAACTAATGGTCTCTCCCTTTTGAATGATCCAGGATTGGTGTCAGTTGTCCTCATAGCACTAGTTTCAGAGGTCTTTTTGCTTTTTATATCTTTTACAAATATGGGTGGACTATATACAAAGGCTACTGAATTGTTAGCAGTATTTGTGGCTCTTTCCACAGTTCTACTCAGAGCAGATGAATTTTGTTCTTCACTATTAAGACATTTACGTGAAGGCAGAACATTAGGTTTACTTAAAATGTCTGAGAAAGGTGTGACAGTCTGAGTGTTTGGATCATCTAAATTTATAAGCCAATTATTTATATATTGAGTTTTAGAGAATGACAGCTTATCTTCATCAAAGCAGCTTAGATTAGTTGATTGAAGATTTGCGGATTTGAGGGAAATAGAATTCTGCTGCTGGATTGATGTAGAAGGCTCCTTATTAAGTTTTAAATATATTTCTTCACATTCCCTAGCCTCAAGACTGTCTATACTTGAGAGGGTTTCAGAATTTGTTATATGATTAACTTCATCACAAAATTTCTGAAAGAAAAAAAAGAACATTGTTTTATAGCTTAGAAAATTTTAAGTGCCAAAATTAATGATTCAACACACCATTGTTACTGAGCCCATTTCTATTTGGCATATAAAATAGAGTAGTACGACTACAAACCGTATAGGTATATAAATAATCTATATCCCTGGAGTAGTCCTCAGAGTGAAAAAGAGGGAGCCAACAAAGACTTACAATAAAGTGTGTGTGCCTTAATTTCTTCACCTTAAAGTATTGATAATTACTTAATTATCCTAGCCATAGTTATAGCTTAAAAAATAATTTTGCTATTGCTATTCCATTCAGAGAATGGAGTTTCTTGAAGATTTCATAATGGCATGTGAAATTCTGAAAAATAGTAATTTACAAATGGTATGTTTTTCCTGAAACCTTCACTGGACGTGAACGAGGCTCCTAAAAGCCCTATGACTCTAATATGAGCTTCCTATTGGTCAGGCTACATCTTTTTATAAAAGTTAATCTCATGGTCTATATAATAGCGTTCTCAACTCTGGCTGCATATTAGAACCACATAAGAAGCTTTGTAAAAACATGCCAGGTCCTGCTGATTGAATACTTGGATGGGGTCCAGGTACTGGTGGTATTATTATTATTTTTAAATTCCCCAGGTAACTCTAATGTGGATTTAGGATTGATTTTAATGACTCGTTTTTGGAGATTTAGCACAGTAATAATTTCTATGAATTCCTTACATGTTCTTATCGCTACTTCAATGAAATTTCATGGAAATTATCAGTTTTTAATAAAATTTCATGATCACTTCAAAGTATAGTCAATGTTTAAAACTATTTCTAATTTCTCACATATATGACATATGTTTAGAATGCATTAATCTGTATCACATATGTAGAAATAAATTCAAGAAGACTTTAAATTGTTAATCTAGTCAAGAAGTTAACTGGACTCAAAGAAAATTAGTTCCCTTAAAATTTTAGAAAATTTAAATATTTTGGTATTAAACAAAAATTTATTATTTTTATAGCCCCCCAAATAAACTGAGAAACCAACGAAATCAGTTACAGATAAAATATTTTACTTTGTATAGTTCATGCTTATTGATATATTATTGTGAAATGTTTAGAAAATGATTCATAAGAGTTTGTTATTACTAGCATTTACTCCCTGCCTGTCACATCCTTCAGTACTGTGATATCTTTTTAAAGAGATGGTCACTCTACCTAACTAGAACAAATCAAAGCACAGCTTCTTCAGTGCCTGTTTTTGGAATTGAGTTGTATTAATTGATAATGAGGCTCCTAAAACCTCTATGACTCTAATATGAATTTCTTTGAGATTGCATCTAATGAGATATAGAAATCTGGGTTAGAAGGTCCTTCTAGCTGTAAGTGTGATGTTCATGGCTTTAAGATTTCTCTTCGCATATGTCTGTGATGGCTTCATTTCCCAAAGCACCTCAGAAGAAATTCATCAACTTCTGATTTCACTAAATTATACTATTTTTTCCCTCAGAAATTTTCTTATACTAAAAAATGAAACATTATGATCAGCTTCAAGTTTTGCTTGTAAGTTACTGATATAAACTGTACTAGACTTAACATGCCTTGTGTTTTAGTCTTTAAATCAACTTTATTGAGATATACTTATCTACAATAAAATGCACTCATTTAAAATGTATAGTTCGAAACCATCATACTGAAATATTTTAGAACCTTTCCATCTGTTGAAATTTCCATCATGCTTCTTTGTAGTCAATACTTACCCATTAACAACCACTAATCTGTTTTCTGTCACTATAGATCTGAGTTTTCATCTGTTATCATTTTCATTCTGCCTGAAAAATTTCTGGGAGCATTTCTTATAGTGCAGATACTGGTGGTGGTGTTCAGCTGATGTTTGTTTGAAAATGCCTATTTTGCCTTCATTTTAGAAGGACATTTAGAAGGACATTTTAGTTAGATATAGATTATAAGTTGGTCATATGTTTTTTTCTCAGAACTTTAAAAATATTGTTTCACTGTCTTCTGGCTTGAAATTAGTATGGTCCATCTTATCTTTGTTCACCTGCACATAATACATCTTTCCCCCCCTCTAGCTTAATCTAATTTTCATGTGCTTTTATGAAGGGTGTGTGCGCACATGCACATGGGTGCACACTTATCCTTCTTGGAGTTTGTTGAGCTTCTTTGATTTGTGGATTCATAGTTTCATCAAGTTTGAAACATTTTCAGCCACTGTTTTCTTTAAAGGTTCCCTCTACCCCTTGTGAGATTTAAATTAAATGTATGTTAGATTTAGATATTGTTCCTCAGGTCACTAACATTTTGTTATATATTTTTTCCGTCTTTTTTCTCCCAATGCTTCAGTTTGGATGATTTCGGTCCACTGATCTTTTTGTCCATAATGCCTGCTCTGTTAAGTCCATCCAGTGTAATTTTAATCTCAGATAATATGTTTTCAGATCTAGAAGTTCTATTTGGTTCTTCCAAAAATTCCATTTTCATTATGTTCATTTTTCTTTAATTCCTTGAAAATATTTAAAAAGTTATTTTAAATTCTTGCCTAATAATTCTGTTATCTCTGTCATTTATGTGTCTGATTATATTGGCTAATTTTTCTCCTGGTTATGGGCCATACAGGTTTCTGCTTTTTCATATGTCTAGTAAGTTCTGATTGAGTGTTGGACGTTGTGAACATTATGCTGAATGTTTAGATGTCAATCTTCTTTAGAAAGGGTTGGGGTTTTTTTTTGACAGGTAGTTGGAATACCTGTGGAATTTTTTTAGGCTTTTCCAGAGGACATGTACAGGTAAAAAGCTTATGTAATCATAGGGCTTACCTCATTTGTTTCCCTTATTTTTAGTGATCATATCTTATACTACCTGTTCTATACTGTCTAAAAATAATTGTTTCATATTATTTATTCAGAATTATAGAATTATAGGCAGGAAGGCACTTCATCATAGCCAGAAGTCTCCTGCTTCGCTTTTCTAGTCTTGCCATAATTGCTCAGTTATTGGATAAATTAGGCCAAGGTTATGAATTTAATCTTGATATCAGCCTACTAAGAATCTCATAACTGTGTGTAATTACTCATAAAAAATAAAGTGCATGAATATTTCAGGAAATGTAGTATGAACTCCATGCTCATCTGTGGGAAAAACCAAAGTAAATACCATATTAGAGTCAGAATAGAGACACCATTTCTAGCTAATTGTGCCATATTTTCATTAAGAACCTTATGTCCATATGTATTATAATTTTCAAGTTGCTTTTTATAATCCAGTCTTTAATAATGTTACTTATGTTACATTATACTTTCAAATAGCTTTCATGTTTTTCAGAAAATAGCATCCATAAAGCATATTTTTCTAAATATGAGAGATGGAAAAATAAGAATAAAAGCAGAGAGAAAAATGGAGTAAAAGGTTAAAAAAATATTAAAAACTTATTTCATTAGTATCTGTGATGAATTTGTGCTGATTCATCTAAACAGACCCTTGGCTAGTGGTATACATTTCTTTAGTGGAGAACACTGCAAAAATGGGACAGAATTATTGCTAGATATTAAAATATTAATAATGTATTTAGAGTTTCATACTTGCAAACTGCTTAGATGCTGATCTTCTAGGAGTTTCTGAGTTTCCTCCAGTTTAAGCTGGAATGCATCTTTGTTAGTAGTCAAGTTTGCCTTGCTGTTTTCCTTCATTTCTTTATCAGAATTGATTTTGGATAGATGTTTCTGATGCTTGTGATCATTTTTTGACAATGATGAAGGCAAGGAATTATCTATGACTCTGTGAACCATACATAAAAAATGTTTAGTACATTTAAATAAAGTTAGCATACATATGATATATTCATATGTATGTGTGTGTGTGTGTGTGTGTGTGTGTGTGTCCAGATAATCACATATAAGGATATTGGAGAAATATATAGACATATTAGAATGGGAATTTCAAGGAGTCAACAGTAGAATAAAAGTGGATGTGAGATTACAGTGCCAATAAAGCACTCCGTCTTCATGTAGGAATATCCAATTATTCATGGCTCTGATTATTAAATCCTATTCCTCTATCTACTGTTTGGGATAGATATAGAAGTAATTCCTGTAGATGTATAGAGTTAGTCCTCAGCTCTTTAAGAGAATTCCTATCTGGATAATGATATGCTGCATACCCTTAGTTCTGAGTTGATGTCATGGATGGTAGGTATCCCTATAACCCTAATAGAGTTGGTTGAAGATTCAAGCAGATAGAAAATAAAATTTCTTGTTAGGGTAGACAGGAATTTCCATCTAACTTTACTAGTTTTGGAAGCTTGGATTTTATTGCATGGAGAAGAGTGTACATATTTATTTTCAGTTGTACCACAAATATAAGCATGGTTTTCATGCCACAGAGGGGGCTACCTTTATTTTTAGTGTGTTAAAGTGCCATCCGCAAATTATTAGTGGATGACATCATCTTCTTTTAGAATTTCACATCTTCTGGAAACTTATAGCATGTAACATTTCAATATATGTACAAAGTGAAAAGAAAAGAACAAAGGAATAATTTCTTTTTTGGGGGTGAAGTATATCAAATAGCTGACTGCTGTTGCATTAGGGGCAGTAGTGAGAACCCCAAGGGTATTTATTCCCAATTCATTGGAATTATTCCCAGTTCAATGAGGATTCAAATGTTTTGGAAGGTGACACTTGGCCACATGTGACATATATCTATCTCCAATACCCATATATATCTTTATTTGGACAGACTGGAATAGTCAAAGTCAATGATTACTAGATTCCTGACTATCATTTTTGTGACCACAGAGGGATCAACAAGAGCAAAAAGGTACCTAACACAAGTTCCTGAACGCTGAGAATATGTTTCTCTCTCTTGCTTTTAGGTTTCCTACTCTTATACTCTTACATATTCCTTCCTCTTCAGTCACCCTTCCCAAATGAAGTATTGCTAAATCTACAAAATACCTAATAAACTAATTTTTTTTTACCTTTAAAGTTGTCATCTGTCAACTTTTTCTTCTCTATTTCTTTCTTCTCTACTCCACTTGCTTCTCTTCTCTTCTCTACTTTCAATTCGTGAGGAGGATTGAAGGAATGGATAGGAATAAAAGGAGATGGGGAGGTAGAAAGAGAGGAAGAGTGAAGCATGGGAAGAAGAAATCATAAAGGAAGAAGAAACAGGAGGAATTAGAGGCGGGAAATCTAAATTTGTTGGAGGCAAATACAGAGAGGGAGATGAATGCAAAGGAGAGGAAAAAGGGATAAATGAAAGCGGTAAGAATGGAGAGGTAGAAGTGGAAGGTGAAGGAGAGGAAAAAACAGATGAGGAGGAAGGAAACTGTACAGAGGATGAAGAAGAGGATATGGAAGTAGAAGATGAAGACAAAGAAGAGGATGGAGAATGACAGGGAGGTGGATGGGAGAAAACTGATGTAGGTGGATGATCTACAAAGGCCTGGGGCAGATTTGATAATGTTATGGTTTGTGGAACAGATTGCTGGACTGACTGAAAATGATCTAAGCTAGCAGGATATTCAGGCAATGGAGTGATAGAAGAAAGAGTGGGGATAGGTTGATGAGGGGGATGACTGGACAAACAGGAAGGCTTCAAAACTGGGAGACCTTCCAAAGGGTTTGGGGAAACAATCAGTTGAGCTGGAAGGGAATGATGAACAAGGGCCGGCATTAGAGTGGTTGGGGTAGAACGTTGTGCTGGAAGGAAATGTTTGGGTCTGAAAGTTTTGTAAAATAACTTACTCTGTGAGTCAGAATCAGGAATGACTGGTGAACCTCGGGGTGGGTGGGGTAAATAGGAATTGGGCAGAAGGAATTGGGGCTGGTAGACGAGGGAAACTGCTAGAAAAGCTGGAAGTAACTGGGGCTGGAGGGCGAGGAAGATATTTGATTGGGTAGGACAGTAATGGGGCTGGTAAGAAGTTCTTTGGAAGAGTAGAGGGGACAGATGGACAGATAGGCAGGGTATGGGGCTGGTGGGTGGGAGAAACAGTTGGATAGCTAGGAAGAATTTGGGAATGGTGGGACAGCAATGGGGCTCTTAAAGGAGACAGCTGATTAGGTAAGAGGGGATCAGGTATGGAGACAGCTGGACAGGCAGGAATGGATCTGCACAGGTGGAAAAGCATTTGAACAGGAAGTAGAGAGACAGCCTTATTAAGATGGTTTTTTGATTTATTGGGCTGCCTCGAGGCTTTCAATTCATATTATGTTTTGTTCTGAGGGTCCATGCATGATGTTCTTCTGATCACCCAGTGTCCTCTCATGAGCTGAGAAATGTACATAGCCTACTTATTCAGGTTCCTCTTTCTCATTCCTGGCTCTTAGAGTATTTTCACCTCTCAGAAGTCTGATAGTCATACAGATAATGAATATGGGCTAGAAAATCTGGTTTAAAGTACTGGTACAAAGGGCAAAAAGAGGTCAAATAGATTACTGCTTAGCTCTGGTCAGATTTCTCAGGGTAGCCTGTGGTTCAGGATCAACTGTCTCACCACAAATACATGGATATTGGAGATAGATATCTAATAACATCATTTTAAAGTATAAAAATATGGGGAAAATATAGCTTATTTTACCCTACATCTACCAGAAGAACGGTCAAGTACATTATCTTTGTGATAAGGATTTGGTTGTGATGGAAGGCTTTTATTTTATTAGTCATTTATTAATATTCTTATATCTCATTATTTCCTAAGTAGCTTTTATTTTCATATGGACATAAGTCTCTGATTTTTCTTGAGGCTTAAGCATTGAATGCCCTCCATTTTTTTCATACAACTTTTTTTCTCCTTTAGATTATCACATTACAACATCTTAAATTATTTTAATCTACAACTAATATTTTCTACATTAGAACAATCATTTGTGAGTACTGATATACCTCCCCTTCTTTGGAAGCTCCCTGTTTCTTGACATTACTTTATTCTCTAACACATTTTAGGCTTATATTGTACAGAAAATGTATTTTTAATGTGACAATAGCTTATAAGTATTTGTAGTTTAATTATATTTTCAATAACAGTACATATAAATATTTCTATTAACCTAATACTTGATCTTTAATATTCCAAGCTGTCATATTTATGGTATAGCATTTTATAGTTTACAAAGCATTTTCACATACATGATTTAATACTGTTAGTTATCTGTGGAGAGGAGTTCAACTTTTAAATAAGTAAACAATAGTGTTCTCTCTATAAATTATATACATTTGTTTTCCAAACACATAAAATTTATGTGTGTGTATGTATAGGTAGATATAAATATCATGAAGTCATAGTCATAATAGTATATTACAATAACAACTGAAAACTATGTATTCTAATTTAGAATGGAGATAATTTCTCATAAAACAAAGTTGATATAATGGTCCTAGCAAGATTTGGTATAATAACTATATGTTTGTTTGCTACAGGGAAATCAAAATTGTCTGACGCGTTATCTCTTCTAAGACTTTAAGGAAGTCTTAGAAGAGACATTGTTGAACAAAAAAGTCTATCTTTTCATTCATAATGCAAAAGAGCTTTTTTAATTGAAAATGTCTGATAACACAAAGGGTAATAATGCACAGAAAAAGAAATCTAATAGTGAAGAAAACCTGTATACAAAAATGCACATTACTTCTATACTAAATGATTTGGAATTTTTTATCACTCTAAATTCCCCTTGACCCTAACCCCCCATCCCCACTAATTGTCTGTCATCTTCCTTTTCAGATAAAACTTTCCACAGAGTACTCTAAAATTATACTGTGTTCACTGCCACAACTTCCATTTGATCTTTAACTTACTGCTATCTGGCTTCTACCTCTACTGTTCCAATGTACTGCTTTTGCTAGTGATTAACTAATTGACCTAATTGCAGACCTAGACACTTCTTGACCACTATCTTTCCTGACTTTAGTTCCCTTTATTTCCATATCATCATACATTTCTGGTTATTTTCTGACTTCTCTGGTTGTTTCTTCTCAGGGTCTTTTTGAGCTCTTCTCTCTTTGCTTGGATATGCTGGAATTTTTGAGAGTTATGTCATCCTCTTCTTTGCTTATATATCCATACTCTGTGTAATCTTATTTATACTGTCTGTGTGATCTTATCTGTATCTGTATCTGAGTGAAGGGTTAACAAAATCCATCCTCTGTGGACCAATTCAACTTTGGGTTAATTTTCTAACTCTGTTCCCTGGATTACTAGCAGGACTTGAACTGTGTTTCAGGCACATTGACTATGTAAAAAATGACCCTTTATTGGTAAACTCTATCTGTACTGGGACAACTGTGAATAAATCATAGATACCTGGTAGGAAGCTATAGCTTTAGGTTTCCCTGAGTGTGGTAATTCTTATAACTGGACATATCTCTTGCATGGAAACTATTCATATAGAGCCATTACAAGAAATATTGGCTTCTGTTTGGAACATGGGATTTCTAACCCAGGGTGGCTGTCTGCTCATTGTGATGTCATCACTTGTGGGAATAGGGGCACAGCAAAGATCAGCACTTTGACTGTTTTGTGGCATGCCATGAGAAGTCCTCCTGTTGAAGAATGTTGCCTATCGACATGCAATGTTTTATGTCTTCTAATTGAGGCAAACCTGGTCTATTGTAGTCATGGGAGTTTGATTGTTTAACTGAACCAAGACCCCCACTGGTGGGTATTGAACCATGGCTTTAACTTTATCCATTCATTGACAGCTATCATATCTATATTCACGGCCCAGACATCTTACAAATGAGAAATTGACTCCAGAGTAGCCCATAAGTATCTCAAA